GGGAAAGGGATTTTTTTTTATTTTGCTGAAGCTAGAAGGCCAGGATAACATATCCTAAAATATATCTTCTTGTGAACTCTTTTCTACCACAGGATATATTGATGACTCTACCCGAGTCTTAATAAAATGCAATAGCTCGGAAGTCAGAGGTTTAGGAGTACCTTGGAGACAGTATTTGCTGACCCACTGGATATAGATTATGAATATAAATGGTGGCATTTAAGTCAAGGCATCCATCAGTCACCTCCCTGCAGATTTTCCAAAGGGACCTTCCCTTAGAGTCTACAGTAAACTTAAGACAGTGACTAGAGGTGATATGAGGTTTGATCCCAGAAATTGCTGAATGGCCGGTTGTGGAGGTGGGGTGGGGGTGGGGGAGGAGGAAAAGGGTGAGGACGACAAGAGGGCCCCTGACATGCAGAAGTTTCTTTCCTGACAAACCCCCAAGTTGCTTTATGAACTCTGACAATTTTTTGTGTCAGGACTGATGCTGGGCTAGGAAATCAGCTACAGGGTACAGCAGTCCAGAAAGTTCCAGGTCAGGAACTTCTCTTGACATCCTTATTGCTGTGTTCCAGTGGCAATCGCAGTGCCTAAGAAAGGGAGATGTTGGATCAGTACTTGCTGAATGAACAGATAATCTAGTACTTTTCCATCGGCTGAAGTGCTCGGGCTAGGAAGAGTGTGGCAGCAGAAAACAAGGGCAAGTTCAAGGCAGATTTACAGGGAATCCAAAAACACCATTGTTTTCAAGGCTCTTTACTTGGACCTACTCATGTGTGGACAGGATCATATGTTTTGTGTAAAATTTGAATTTGTTAAAGCTAATGTCTTTTTTCCCTTCGGAATCCCCCTTTTCCTCCCCCCCACACTTCCCTTGGTGCCAGGTGACGTCAGAATATCATGGACATTTTTGGGATGCAGAGAAGGGGAATTGGGTTGTGGATCTATTTTGTTTGGGTTTCATAGGCTATAATTACGTATCTTCTCTGCATAGTTAAGCTCTTGCTCCCGGTTTCGGTGTCAGCATGCTCCCCAGAAACCCGCCTAGACGCCCCGGGCGCCCGCGCAGTCTGCGGCGTGGGACCCGATGGTGCGGACAGAACGCGAAGTGCCCAACGGGCAGCACGTGCGGTGGGGAGAGAAACGAGGTCGGCCCTGAATGGAGCTGGAGGCTGGCTGGTCTGTGGAACGTTCTTTCCATTCTATGACGTAAATAGTGTCCCTGGAGGAGATTTTCATCAGCATGCCTGTGCTCATACAGCAAAGCCATCAACAGCCAGTCCGCCCATGTGTGAAGTCTCTTGTGCACCCCAGTTATCAAAAAGAAAACGGTCAATGCTGCTGGAGGAGAGGCTGCAAGAGCTTTCTGTTCTCCCTGTAGAAAGTGATACGACAAAATTGTCACCACGTGTAGTGGTCATCAAAGAGAAGGCGGCCCCAAAACGCAGGGAAAAATATTGGAGAGCTTTCTTTTTCTGGATGTTGTGGTGATGGTGTGGCATTTTTTTCAGCTTTTGAAACTTGTAATTAGTTGTCATTTTTTTGTCTCATCATTTCATATTCATTCACTTCAGTGTCAGATTTTGTACTTGTAACTTTGTATTCCTTGTCTTTAAAGTGACTCCCTAAACAAGTATGAGCAGCACGCCCACCCTTTGCTCCTTCTCTAGCTGAAGCTGGGAGATAGACCCCAGGAATCTTACTGAACCCAAGCATCCCTCACCCTGTCCCGCCTTGCGCTGGGGCCTGAGCGGCAGGCCGCAGCCTCTTGGAGGTGCAAGCCCATCAGGGACTCAGGGACGGGGGAGGCCAGACACCCAAGGCCATCTCTCCCGCCAGGACTGACACGGGGCTTTTGGGTCGCACATTCCTTCCTCTCCTCCTGTCTCCGGGCTTTTGAGAATGAGGCAGAAGTGGTGGGCAGCGCTGACGGCGTCAAACCTGCATGAACATATGGTTTGTTATCCGGATAGGGACGCCGTGGGTGCAAGGGGAACTATTCATAATTTGCCAGGACTGTTCTGGACGAGCTGATCTGGGCTCAAACCTTGGCTCTGCCTCTGCCATATTGATAGAGGGGTAAATTGTATCTATAACCATCTATATACGTACAGTAATACCTTGGTTTGCGAGCACGATTCATTCCTGAAACAAACTACTCGTATTGCAAGACATCACTCGTTTACCACGTTAAAATGTATTAGAAATGTTTGCTCGTCTTGCGGGACACTCGCAAACCATGTTACTCGCAATCCAAGGTTTTACTGTATATCCTTAAGGAGAGCGAGAGATCTATATATACCTACGTAGACATAGATATCATCTTATCATCTATCTAATCAGTCCACAATCCACAAACTTGGATATGTAAGAAATATCCCCTTTTCTCTGAACCACTAACTTTCCTTTCAAGCTCCCCATCAGTGCAGGCAGAGGCTACTTGACCTCATTTTTTTTGAAATATTGCATTGGCCTCAGGATTCTGTGCAGCATCAGGCTGTCCCCAGAAGTCACCTCTGAGAGTCCTGTCCTGGAACCTGACCAGTTGGTCCCTCACAAGGCTCTCTGTTGCTTCCATGTGCGACTAAGGCCAGAGCTTCCCAGGCCGCCTGCGTCCGCTTTCCTTGGAGATGCTGTCTCCCTGTGGCACTGCTGGGAAGCTGTGGCAGGCTCTCCCTCTCTGGGGACCCAGGGTCCTCATTTTCTAGTATGTAAGAAATCCTTCTCTCTTTTAATTCCAGCGAAGGCATCCATCGAAGCCTGCAAATATGGTTTCATTTCTCTAAAAGTCATATAAATTCCCCTAAGGACTTTGCTCTTGGAAACCTCAAAATCACAGAGAATTAAAGTCAACTTTTGCTCTCTCCTGCCACATTGTGCTGGCTGAAAGGAGAAATATGAAGGAAAATAAACTCTCCAGGCTGTCCTGGACACCTGGCGCCTGCCCTGTGGAAGGGGTTATATAAGTGATAGGCCCTTTTTCCTGGAAATGGTGCCACTGTCACTAGGACATCTTGGTTTAGCTGAAACCACTGGAAGTCTTTCTGTGGGCAGATGGGAAATAAGCAAAATATTACCGTGAAGCAATAGAGCTGGGAGATTTCTGGGACTAGCAGCTTCAGGAAGAATAACACAAATGGGAGTGTCTGAGGGAACAGGAAGAGGCAGAATTACTGCAAAAATAGCAAAATATGTTTCTGCCACAAATCTGGGGGAAGAAAGAAAAGAACACAATGTTGGGAGGTCAGAGAAGGCAGACTAATAATTGCAGGAAGATACCTTAGAGATCAGCTAGTCCAATCCCTGACCCCTTACGGAAACTGAGGCTTCAGTTGATCATTTGCCTAAAACTAAAATTACATTTAGTTTAGTTGCAGGATTTCTAACCCCACGTAGCTTTCTGCTACGATTATATGTGACTCAAGCCTCTACTTCTGTGAAATGGAACTAGTATTTCTTATCTATAGTTCTGGGTTGCTGTGAGGATTAAATGAGGACCTATCACAGTGTCAGCACACAGCAGTTGCTAGTTTTAGACGGATGATATTAAAATTGTTTGGTAGGAACACAATATTTACTCTGCAAGTATGGCTTGGTTTCTAGTCCTCCCAATACAATTCATTTTGATGAACTAGAAATCATGACAAATACCGTATTTTCTCTTTTTTAAAAAAGAACACATCAAAGGTTTTATTTACCTCGTTAATGAGGGAACCAATCAGATGTTAAAACCAATGCAAAGGAAAATGCAGAGGACAGACATACACACGCGAGGATGCTAACAGATGCACAAATGGCCGCTCCCATGGCACGAGTCAGGCTGCGTCTTCACCTGACATTGCATTTCTCCCTCTCCTCTGTAACAGCTTTATTGAGATATAATTTACATACTTATTTTATATAGGTATAGATGATATCAGTTATAATTTAACCATTTAAAGTACACAATTTAATGGTTTTTAGTATAGTTACAGTTGTGTGACCATCAGTTTTAAATATTTTCATCACTCCCAAAGAAACCCTGTACCCTTTCATTGTAAACCCACAATGTTCCCATTCCCCCGCCCCAGCCCCAGCCAACCACTAGTCTGTTTGTTTCTATAAGATTGTCTATTCTGGACATTTCACATAAATGGACTCATAATACGTGGCCTTGTGTGACTGGCTTCGTTTACTCAGCATAATGCTTTCAAGTGTTATCCATATTGTAGCACGTATTAGTACTTCATTTTTATAGCTCAAAATATTCTATTGTATGGTTCATATTCTCTTACTAGCTTTTATTGTGCTCTTTTTCTTGAGAAGTAAACTGTGGAAACTCTGAAGTCTAATGGGTCAGAATGTTCTATTTCTCCCCAATAGAGCAGATACTTGAGAGTAATGTCAATTTCCCCATTCAAGCCATGGGCTCCAATATCCTTGGATTCTGGTTCTTCTTCTGAAATTTATACAGTAATACCTTGGTTTGCGAGCATAATTTGTTAGGGAAACAAACTACTCGTATTGCAAGACGTCACTCATTTACCAAGTTAAAATATATTAGAAATGTTTGCTCGTCTTGCGGAACAGTCACAAACCCAGTTACTCTCAATCCAAGGTTTTACTGTATTTGCTTCCAAACAGGTTAGCACAACCTGGTTACAAGTATTTCCCATTCAGGAAACTAGCCAGTTTTCCGCTTGGCAGGCAGAGAGGACACATCCATGAACCCCGTCTCTGAAAAAATAGCATAAAAAAACAAATGAGTTCCCAGAGATCACCAGCCTGATGTGACGGCCTGAGGTCTGGTCCGGGAGGACTTGCTTAGAAATGTCAAAAGAAAATAAGGCAGCCTCATTGCCTCTTACCCTCCCAGCTGTTCTCACATAGTAATTAAAATTGAAGGAGGCTTTCTTTTGCTAGACCTTGGAAAATGGTGTATAAATGGTTTTTGGCAACGTGATGAAGTATCACCAACTCAGATGGTAGAAGAAAAAAAATGTACAACCTCCATATACAGTTCCAGAAACACTTTATTTAAAAATGGAGTTGTAAATGCATAACAAAATAACATAAGTAATAAATGTAACAAAAATAAATAAGGAGAATAATGTATTCATAAAAAATAAAAATAACATAGTAAAAGGCCAAATGTTTATAATTAAACAAAACCGTGTAAACACTTAAACAATAATGTAAGTAGAGTAGATGCTAATATTTTCCTAAATAACTCCTTACCTTTCACTTCCATGTGGATGTTATCAGTACCCAAATATTAAATAAAAGGGAAAAATGGTGATCATTTTGCTTGACTTTTTTTTTCAAATAGATTGACCCTGTTTTAATGTTTCATTTATTCCTTCAAAACATTTGTATCTTTCCATTCATGTTCTTTAAAACCTTTTTTTCAGTCTTACTTTATTAGCTAGAATGGGGAATTTAGCTTTACAAGGAGAATAATTAATTTAACTTTTTTTTTTTAAATTTAAAGAAATATATGAGATCCAGTATACAACAGACTTTTGTTTTTACATCTCTACAAAGAGTTCTTTTTGAGTCTTTATTAACTGGCCCAACAGTACAGGATTTTAAAAATCCTGTAACGTTTTGAAGTGTACAGAGTTACTTTCTTAAAACAAATATAGCACAGGATTATTGCTGAAATATTAAAGACCATTTCATAAATTTGCAAGGCTGCAGTTTTAACCTTTATAGACTGATGGGGTCAGGGGGAAAATCCAAGTCTACTAATCATATTTAACTGAATTAAGATTCACCCAAATTATAGTGTTCTGGAAACACAAAGATAATTACTTTCTTTTTAAACTTATCCAAATGTGACCTTACTGGAAAGAGAAAAAGCAAGTTTATCATAGGTATTTTTCACAGGCTTCCCGTTTAGTTGCACAGACCTAACGCCTTTGTCATCTTGCAGGGTTCTTACAAATGAGTCAGACAGACAGGATTTACTACTGGGTCCTACAGGGAAACACACAGAAGCAATTCACTGCTTGGGAGTGAAACTATCAACTAATCTTAGCCTACTGGATCTCCAAGTCTCCTAATGAAGAAAAATTTACCTTCATGATCATTTCAAGGGAATTTTTTTTTTCCAACTGTCACATATAAACTTGGGAACACAGGAAAACAATATACATGTTCTTAGTTTTAAAAATATACTCCACTTAAACTATCCGTCTAGTTTCATCTTTCTAGTTATCATTTGCCCTAAAATGAGAGACAAAATCTTACTTCCATAAAAAAAGAAAATTGAAAAAAGTGCCAAATTCATCTTTTCGAAAGTGGAGTAAAACACTGTGGGGTTAAAACAAATACAGTATTATCAATCTCCTATGTACAAAAAAAGACGGTTAGTCCTTATTGATATATAGATATGTCCACCTACCACTCCCAGCAAATCTTAGTGCAAACATAATAGTTCATCTTAGTAAACCCCAAGACAATTTACGTAGCAACAAAGTTATATAAATCACATATATGTTGGAAAATTTTAGAACACAAGACTGACTGTTTTGAAAGGTCAGTTTGAGTGTAGAGAGTAATATGTCATTGTATCCAATGGTAATGAGTACTAATAGAAATCCTATTTTTGAGAAGCAAATATAAGTGTTTAACAAATCTGTACAGATGAAGAGAGAGTCCATTTCAGGGAGCAGCTTGGCACAGGAGACATGGGGGTCTGAAAATGGTGGGTATTTAGTTTGCTTGTAGGTCACAGCATGGCTTAAAAACAAAAACAAAAACACAAAAATCTATGAAGGGAAAGAATGCAAGTATATAATTCAATTTGAAAATCATAAAACCACAAGGGGTGAAATTGCCACAATCTGCTTTTTCCTATATGTGCATCAAGTGGTTATCTAAATGGCTTGAAAGGATGACTATGACACCACGTTATAGGAAAAAAATAAATAAATAAAATTAAGAAGCCAGAGATAACAAGATTGTACTTGACCAAGCTGTCGTGTTTTGCACAAGTCAACACTATGCTGCTGCTGATATTCCTAGTCATTCCACAGGTAATTATTTTCTAACAATCAAGAGAGAGAGTCATTCATGTACTGCAACATCCTCCTCTTCCCCGTCAGGGTTGAACCTATTGAAATGTATACTGAAATCAGCCTCAGATTCTGTGTTCTCAAATTCAGCTGAGACTGAGGTAGCAGCAGGATGAAGGACCCTAGCTTCTGGCTGGCACAGTGTTGGTGTCTGACCCGGGCTGCTGTGGTTATTCACAGGGCTGGACTTCTGCTTGGGCGGAGACGGCAGCATGGCGCTGGGAAATCCCATGTTGTTCAGAGCCTCCAACGTTCCATCTGGATCAATCATAGCATTGATTGCTGAAGGGAAAAAAGGAACGGGGGAACAGAGATGGAATGGTCAATGCGGTCGTTGCTCATGACTTGGATAATATTTTGGCTACAGAGGCTTGTATCTGATGCTTAATTTTGGCTAATCCTTTCCATGCTGTTTTTTTGAAAACCCCACTTTCAGTAATACTGGGGCTGATCTATAGACTATAGAGACCTGGCTGCTTGCTCTGCTGCTCTGAAAAGCTCACTTCTGGGCATTTCAGAGCCTGTTGGAAGACTGGGATTTGGAGACATGGAATTCAGCAAAGATCTTTTTGAAATCTGCTTTCATTATTGTGAGAGGATAAGTGAAAATAATGGTTATCATTTCATTCAACACTCCTAGCCATATTTATCACTCAGTTAACGGGGGATTAGTTGCTATGATGGGGTTCAGAGTAATATGAGACTGGGGAAGCCACACGAGTTATCAGCACACTCCGGGTGCTACCACAGCATGCTGTCATTCATCCTGGTGAGAGAAGGACACCAGCCATGTACAAGTGCGTATGCGCCACTAGCCATGGCAGCCCCAGCGGGCCAAAGCGACTACCTCCTTGCGAGGGGCCAAGTAAGACCACTTTTCAATCCAAAAACATCTCTGAGTGGATGAGGGAAAATCTTCAGCAGTGATTTTCAACTTGGCATTGTGTAGAGTGGGGATTTGGGAGAAGAAAGCATCATAGATTTAAGAATCACCTAAGCGGTCCTTTTGCAGTACACCCCCACAGGACCAGCTAACAAGCACGTTAGCAAGTCACCTTTACTCAAGGGGGTATATGCAAACCCTCAGGAGTGTGGAAGCTGAATAATGGTGACAAATCACTTAGCCAGGACTAACATATGATGCTTGTGATAAAAACCGAGTAGAATTAGCAGTTCACTCTGGAATCTGCTTGTTGTAGCACCCCAGACTTCTGGGTCAAGACATACACAAGGCATTAATGCAGGATTAAGATAGGACACAAAAACAATGATGCTGTCAAGGTTTAGGAGGCAAACAGTCTTTCTTCCCTCCCTCCTCTTCTGGTCCCTATGGCCAATATGCATGCATTTCTTGCTGTGCATCCAAAGAGATACTATCTGTGTTAGAATACAAGCTCTTTTGGGTTACACCACAAATGTAATTTAAGAACTGTCAAATCAAATAAGTAATGCTAATTGTCAATAAGCATTTTCAGCTACATACACATATTTTAATACATTTTTTATATATTCTTTGTGTGTGTGTGTGTATTAGGTAATATATATAATACTGTGAGTTAGTTTATAACATCTAGCCATATGCCCAAGATTTCATATTATTGTTTTATTATTTATATTGGGTTTAAAACTTCTTCTTTATGGGTAATTTGGATATGTAGAACTCTATATTTTATCCATATGTCATTTAACTGTTTTTAGAACATTTAATCAAATAATGTTCTAATAATAAGAATATCTGAAGAAATACCACTTAGAATGCACTTGTCCTACCCTGTTAGCTCTTTCTGTTTCATTCAGTAGTAAATTTACCTTGTAGCTGCTTTTCAACGCTTTTCAGCTCCTGTAAGATAGAAGAAATCTCCTGCAGGGAAAACAATGGCAAAAATTAGCTTACTTTATGTAAAACATTTTTATTGGATAAGCAATGACTCATCTTACTGGGAATACTTAACATTATCTACATGGTGCTATATTTATAGCAAAATATTTCAGGATATGGAATAATTATGATATCTAGTAAACAAGATTCCAATTTTAAGATCTTTAAATGTTGAAATGGAATTACTTTTTTAATGAGATAATGACAAAAGATGAAAAGCTCATAACAATACTACGGTATAAGAAAAGATTTTGAAATATGTGTATTGATTACCCTTGCAACAACTTTGCAAAGTGCCTAAGGATTTTCTTGGAAAAATGTATAAAGTGCCAAGCTCAGTTTTAGGGTGACTCAATGACTAATGAAAATTGATACAAATTCTTGAGAAGGCAAGCAGACTATGGAGCAAATGGAAATGACTCATGTCAACTTATATTTGAGTTTGGCTCTTATTTCAAAGTTGCCTATTTATGATGTGTAATTATTATAAGAACAAGAATGTATAATAGCGAGAAACATAAAAGGTTTTTCCTCATACTCTCTGCAACTTTGAAGCAATCAACATTGTAAACCCCTGTCAAAGACAGTTGAAGGCGTAAAATTTCCCAAATTTGGGGACTTATATCTTCCTTTAAAAATGTAAATCAAAAAACAGTTAAAAAATTAGCATATCATTCCCTTAAAATAAAACCCAGCTATTAAAATGTTTTAGTATTAAAAAAAATTACCATACCATGCTTGAGGTTTTCACAATAGGAACTTCACTTTCAGCTCTTAACTTGCTTTCTATTTCATCCCAATTCCGATCTTTATCTTTAAATAATATTCTATAAATAAAAAAAATAAGCATTTTACTTTTCATAGTTTAGAAACATCACATTTTTAACAATACAAAAACAGTATACCTTTTTAAAGCAACACACGGATAAAGAAACCATTAAACATTGCATAAACTGCAAATTAAATACTTAGCCAATATCACCAATAAACTCATTTATGTGAGATCTGTATCAAAAAAGTAACTGGATGGTTACGAATATACACATAAATCCTTTTGTATTTAATTCATTCTTTATTGAACACCAAATAAACAAATAGAGATGATGATATAACCCCCAAATTTTAATCTAATATTTATAATTAACCATATAACCACCATTTATGATGAAAACACAACTTTGTTCAGATAAAACATATGCAGTATACACATAAGATAAGAATTAAGATAAAAATAGGTTGAATTAGGTATAACCAATTATGTCTGAAAGACCTCATTATGTAGGAAAAAGAATTTTATTGATTGAGCAAAGTGTGAACATTATTTTAAGGTTGAAAATTGGAGTACTTCCTGTGCTTTGCTTTAGAAATCTTAATTCATGTTGTATATTGTATATAATTACCTGTAAGGAGTTAAGACTATCCTTTGGATAAAACAACTGCCAATAAAGATTATTATCCTTATGTTAGAAACTAAGCTCAAAAATGTTATGCTATAAAATGAAGTACCACAAAATTTTGATTTGTCTTTCAAATGTGGTATCTTTCTCTCCCCAATACTTTGGAATCTGAGACATGACTCAGTAATTTAAAGACATGTAAATACTAGGCACCCTTTTGGTTTCTTTTAAATTTCTTCATTAGTCCTGGAAATCTCGTCTAGCTGCCTTATATAAATATCAACACTGTGTAAGTAAGTAAATATCACTATTGGAAGCTGATCCGTATTTAAGTAGTAAACTAAATTACTTTCTTATTTGTATTTCTTCTAAGATCAATATGCCAGGTTCAGCTTATTTAAAAACAAGAAATTCATCAATATCCAATCAAGTCTGGAACATCTACAATGACACATAACCATGCTTAAAAAGGCAACAATGGTTCTAGAATCCGATATAAGAATATTCTGATCTACTGTTAAATTTTCTAAGCCCACAAAACTAAATATCCTTGCCAGCCATCTAAGAGCTGTTATCCTAATGACTATGATATTAAGGCCTAAGTAAATTGTTATGTGTTGTAAGGGTCCTAAAAGCTTTAGGGTTGGTGGAAAGTAAGAAAACAATGACTAGAAAAGGGACACCAAGGGATACACAGAGGAAGGGCCCGTGGGGGCACAGGGCAACAGTGAGTGCAGTGCCACTGGCTTCACTAGCTCCTAACAGCTGTGGTAGCAGGCTTGAAACAGGCGGCTGTTAATGATATAAGCACGAGGTCTGAGTAACAACAGTACCTGATCTTCCCAGCTGTTTTATCTATAGACTGTCTTATCTTCTTGGAGAACTGGAAGACGGAAGACAGCAGCAGATTATCTCCCATGACCTGAAACAGCCAAAGAAAAAAGTACATTAAAATATCACCGCTATATTGTTATCACCACCAAGAACTAGTCACAATGCACTATAGTTAGGGGCGTTTAGTATCCATGCCAATTTTAACAAAAAGTCCAATGAAGAATGCAATTAGCGTAATGTACAACTAAATTGAGAAAGAGAAATAAATATTAACAAAGAAGGTCCTTTTTGTTAAATAACTTGTGAAGTTTCCATATTATTTTGGTCATATCACTTTCAAAAATCAATCCATATCACCTTATCTTCAGTTACTGTCACGATCCTGTCTCTTATGCCTCCAATTCAATGATCATAAAAGGGAAAACATAAATAATTTAGAGTACTAAATTTACTATCTATCCTTTCATCAAATAAATGAATACCGTGCTCTCCAGGGCAGTCTAGTGGTATGGACACATTTTAAAAATTTACTCAAAACAGTAAGTTTTTACAATGGGGGTTGGTACCACCCCAGCTGAAATTCACGGGCAAAACCAGAGGCCAGCAAATTTCTTCTGTGAAGGGCCAGAGTGAAGATCTGAGGCCAGCGGACTCTGTCATAACCCACTCAACAACCTCACTGGACCATGAAAGCACAAGCAAGCGGGCACAGCTGGGTTGTAATGAAGCTACAGAAACAGGCAGCAGGCGGGATGTGGCCTGCGAGCTGTGTCGTTTGTCAAGGGCTAAACCATGGAAGGCAGAGCTAGGGCAGAATACTGGGAAAAGGACAGAACTTGGGGCCCAATGTCAGAATTTACATTGTCAGAACTGTATCTGGACTGTGTTAAGAAAATCCAGAAAATAAGATACGGCTTTGGATGTTAAGAAGCTTTATAGACCAGTGGGGGAGATAATAGTACTATATGGGAAATACTACTCAACAGTCCATAAGAAGAATGTAAATAAGTGCTAAATGCTGTGATTCAGTGCTGTACAAATTGTAATGAAAGAGAGTTTGGTGAGTGGTGACATAAACAAGAAGGCACTGTGGAAAACTAGGTCTTTTAGCTCCTGCTCCTGAAATCCAGGAATCCACACATGTCAACCTATGATCTAACCCTTCTTGTTAACTGTTCTTTTTTATATCCTCCTGCTCCCTGCTCCCTGCGCTGGTACCTGTATCGCCTCTGCATGTGCTTCCAACGAGCTCTTTCCAGGGTGCTATTTAAGTAACCATTCTTTGGTGAATAAACTTCATTACGTCCTTGAATTTTTCCCACACTCATTTCATCTACTTTCCATTACCATACGCCTTTTCAATAAACCTCTCTTTCCCTGATTTCTCATGGCCACGTTTATAGTTTTAAACGATAATTTAATAGTTTTTATCCATATTGGTCCACAGGTACACAGAAATAATCATAATCATGTATCATTGGCCCAACCAACTTGGACCACTTTTTCTTTCTTTCTTTTTATTAATGTTACAAGCACTTATGAGTCTACTACCCCAAACAAAGCTAGGACCTAACAATATCCAACGTGACAGGATAGACGTTGAAAAATCTTCACTCCCGCCTTGTCTCCACTATTGCAGGAGGGTGCTTTTCTACCCCCTGGCCTTTGGCTTCAGGCATGTGACTTGCTTTCCCCAGTGAGGTTAGCAGACATGCGCAGCACAGACTTGAAATGTGCTTGCATGGTGGGCTGGCTCTCTTGTGTTTCTGATATAACCACGACGAGAACAAGCCCCAGCTAGCCCACTGGTCCAAGCAACATGGAGACGCATGGAGCAAACCTGGACCCAACCTACAACTTCGAACTGTCCAGATGAGCATTATCAGTTAAACCACAGGTGTGTGGTGAATAAATGCGTATTGCTCTATGCCACTGAGATTTTTGTGGATTGTTATAAAGAGACGGATAATAATCTATCTCTAGTCATATGGGACCCCCTCCCATTCCATCTCCCTGCCTCCCTTCACCCAAGGTAAAGAATATCCTGAATTCCATTCATCATGCCCATGCTTTCTGTGTTCTATCATTTGTTAGATCTATTTCTATCCCTAGTGTTTATTTTCATTTTTAAAAATTTATGACAAAGAACATTATCTATAATCTTTTGAGAATTACACTCTTAATTTAATGTTATATTGCTAAAATTCATCCATATCGCTATAGTTCTTTGTTTTGATTACCCTATACAGTCATGTGTTGCTTAATGATGGGGAAACATTCTGAGAAATGCGTCCTTAGGTGATTTCGTTGTTGTGGGAACATCGGAGGCACTTACAAATCTAGATGGTACTCAGGCTAGATGGTACAGCCTACTGCTCCTGGGCTACAAACCTGTACAGCACGTTACTGTACTAAATACTGTTCGCAACTGTAACACAATGGTTAAGTATTTGTGTATCTAAACATAGAAAAAGTACAGTAAAAATATGGTATAAAAGATCAGATAAAAAATGATCCACGTGTACAGGGCACCAAGCATGAGCGGAGCCTGCAGGACGGGAAGCTGCTCTGGGTGAGTGAGTGAGGAGTGAGTGTGAAGGCCTGGGCATAACTGTCCACTACTGGAGACTTACAAACACTGTGCCCGAAGTCCTCCCTCTGCTTCTGACAGGGTCAGAAATAGAACATCTAACCTGTCAATGCTGCTCCATGAACAGAGATGTGGGCTGGACTGATTGGAAATACGGAGGAGAAACTGGCTGGGTGAGGCATAGAGCACTTAATAGTGACAGCTGGGAGGGAGTGAAAGGGGCCTGAGGACCAGCAGGAATAAGAAACCAAGATGGAGAGATAAAGGAACAGAGCCGGTTACCATGACAGTGTGGTTTGGACTATTACATACTGGAGCAGTGGTCAGATTAAGGGACTCTGTGGTATTCATAAAAAGGAGGGTGTTTAACATGGAGAGGGTGGAGAACAGAGGATTCAGTATTTGCCTTTAGAAATTTGTTTTTAGTTCTATTGACCCTATCTGGCACAAAGAGCTCTCTCTGGCAGGGAATTGATGAAAGACATAAAACTTATCTATGCTTTAGACCATTACAACCTGAAATATTTCCAAAGCAAAGGGGCAGGCTGGCTCCACACCACCACAGAAAGCTGTCACTGAAGCGGCAGTGGCACTTAATACTTGTGAGAGTGGCTCCTGTGGACCTGAGTCCAGTACAGGATCTTAGGTTCTCAACAAAGAATTGCAGCCGTGTCCTCTGAAGACCAACAAGCTGGCTCTGGGGGTGCTGCAGTGCCCCCTGAATGTGTAATGTTGGGGACACAGGCTCCTCTGTGCAGAGACAGGTCGGGGCTGACTGACTGATGTAATCTGTGGACTCAAAATGGAGGTGCTGTGAGGGGACATCTATCGCCAAGCTTCACAGATACTGCTCCCGTCAGAGACAAACAAAATTCCCCGAGAACCACAAATCCTTCCATGTCTTACAGGACATTCGGCTCCATCACAATCTTATGGGGCCACCGTGGTATATGCTGTCCATCATTGACTAAAACATCCTTACGTGGTGCATGGCTGGAGCTGTTCAATTTGTGAACACACCACTATAGACACTCACTTTTCTACGGATAAAAACACTTAGACTGTCTCCAAGTTTTTGTTATTGTCCACAGAGCTTCTATAAAAACTCTTCTGCAGGACTCCTATTGTCAATGGGGAGAGTTTCTCTTGGGGATATGCTAGCAGTAACACTGTTAGATCATGTGACATGTGTTTTTTCCACTTTAGGAAATTATGTCCAACTGCTTTCCAAACTGACTGCACCAGTTGAACCTCCACCTGCAACACATAAGAAAGCCTATGTATCCACATAAAATATTGTCAGTTTTTTATGTGCCGCCAACTGAATGCGTAGAAACAGTCTTGAACGGGTTCCTCTGAACACGTAAATGGAACATGTCTTTGCATTTTACAGCCTTAGGTGTTTTTCCTTCACTGACATGCTGTTCCTGGTTTTCTACTGGGTTGTTCTCGTCTTTTTTAATTGATTGGTAAGAATTCTTTACACATTCTAGATATGAATCCTTTCTTGGCTATACGTTCCACACAAGTCTTTTAATATACTCAGATTTATCAATCTTTATTTTAAAGTCAAAACTTTTTGTGTCTTTTTAAAAAATCATTCCCTACCATAGTGTTGATAGTGATTTACCTATTTTTTACTAAAAATTACAAAGTTTTCCTTTCAGTCATTAGGAACTTAATTCATTTGGAGTTAATTGTTTGTATATGATGTGATGTCAAGATGAAATTTCATTCTACCCATAAAGGCAAGCACTTTTTTCCAGCCTTTATTTATCGAACAGTTCCTCCTTTTCCCATAGATGGGACATCCCTCCTCTGCCATTTATTAATGTTTACGGTTTACTTACTTCATCCCTGCTCCAGGTTCTCCGCCTTGTAATTGTTAAGTGATCCGGTGGCTCTGACGGCTGAGGTCTTGAATCATTAGACCGACAGTTGTTCCCGTCTGGTGTTTTAGAATGAACTAATGGGGGGATCTTTCGGAAGTTGAGGCTTTCATCAAAAACACGATCAACCAACTAATAGGACAAAAGCAAACCTTTATGAGAATAGAGCAATTTGGAAAAGCACAGATGTTAGCATTATAATTTTCATGATTAGACAGAAGTTATTTCATTCTCAGTGAGTATTAGAAGCATATCTTCAATAAACCAATTACTCTTTTTTTTTATAAGTACTTCAGAGATGTCTGTTTTATAAAATATATGGTCATCTATATAGATTTTCTTTTTAAATTCCAAAATATATAGCTATTATATATCTGATTCTTCCATGGATAAGATTTCCCCCAAATGGCAAATAGATGGTAAACTGAAAAAGGTGAACCATGTGGATGGACACGGAGTTCATTTTACTCACATTGTCTTACCAGTGTAAAATAATGTTTCTTTTTCTTTTAGTTTCCTATCGTGTTTTATCCTTTTATTTCCTCCCCAAATCCAGGTGTCAAATTTCTTCACAGATACATAAATTGTAAATTCCAATTAAGTTTACAAAAGGAAAAAAATTTAAATCCGCAAAATAAGTATTTTGGTTTTAATCAGGTCAACTTTTAACAATGCTATAGAAATTACATATTCCAATAAAAAGGATATACTGCCACCTACAGTGCAAATTATACACATACAATACAAAGGTTTACTGAAGAAGGGATAAACTCTAGTACAATACTCAGAAATAAAACAAAAAAGAAATGAAAATCTGGTCACTGAAATGTTTAAATTTACTAGCTCTGAATGAATGTATAATCATGTTAGATAAAATTTAGTTAGACAGCTGAGAAATTAATATCTTTATCATTTTAAATGTACCAGAAGAATTGTGTATGTCTTGCCACCAAGAAGATCCTTTTGTTTTTCACCAATAAGGATGATTTTCTATACATTTACAATTGATCAGTGTGGTAACAAAACTACACAGATTGATGAAACATCATTTACCAAATTAGACAACACAGGAAGCGAAATAAAAAAAAACAACCAAAAAATGACCACTAAAGAACTAGATTATAAAAGGAATGTGACAAAAAGCAACTGAAGAAAATATTATTAGCAGAGTTTACCGGAATTAAATTTGTCAAAAGGCTAGCCATTTTTGGTTACTATTGAGAACACTATTTTATAAATTAAGGAAGTAGAATCATCAATATTAGAGACTGGCAGATATTTTTCTGTAAAGGGCCAGAGAATGAATATTTTAGGCTTTGCAGCCATACAGTCTGTGTCTAACTACTCAATCCTGGCATTGTGGCATAAAACAGCCAGAAGATAATTAAACAAATGAGTGTGGCTTTGTCCTAATACAACTTTAATTCACTTTTTCAGATGCCAATCATTTGCTTGCATTACTGCACCAGATCTAGAGCACCAACATGACCAGAGTACCATTACTTTTATATGTTAAAGGTACCTTCTGGAACAATTTTATGTAAAAGGTGCCCCCCTGGAGTTGAGAGCAGGAGCCCTGGTTTCGGAAGGGCCACAGCCTATATGCTAACTTACACTCCAGAGCTCACATGTATGTTTCAAAACTGAATATGTATGTATTTGTGTGTGTTTATTTCAATTCTCAGAGTATCCTTGTGTGTGTGTGTGTGTGTGTGTGTGTGTGTGAGTATTCATCAACAGAAAATTTATTTAAAGTAGTGAAAATGTAGAATTTTTCTTTTGCTATTAAAAATATCTCCTAGTTAATTAACTAGCTTTGAAAATACCTTTTATTTATTTATTAATTTAAAACATTTTTTTTTTTTAGCTGAGCCATCCTGCCACCTATTGGAAGCTCAGCTCAGGCCAGGAATTGAATCGGCGACCCTGTTGCTCAGAGCTCGCACTCCCAAGCGAGCTCTTAACCAACTGAGCCACTCGGTTGGCCCTGAAAACACCTTTAAATTGAAGTATTTTCGTAGCCAAACTTTACCAAAACTTTATACAATCGTCTATAAAATTTTCGTTTGCTTTTCAGATGCCATTTAATTCATAGTTTAAGTGAAACTATGCAGCAGTAACTAGCAAAGTACTTTTAAAACTAATTCTACAACTTCATGTTCATAGTAGACCAAATGTCAGCCTTTACTAGTTTTATCACAAAAACATAAAAGAAATTTATTAAAGCAAAGTTAGAAAATGCAGAGCTTCATGCAAACAGGGAGGTGGACATAACTAAAATAAACTAAGCAAAAAGCTAAAAGCAAAAGAAATAAAGAAAAGGAAGAACCTTATGCATTTCTCCATGAAGATCTCCTACCTCTTCTCTAGTGTCTATGGCAGAGCCAGGGGTGGTGGCGGCAGTGCTTACTGTGGTACTAGGGGCAGTGCCTGATGACGTCACTGAATCTATCTCTCCTGCTACATCGTTGATTTCCCGAGCAATGAGAGCAAGATCTTGGCTGATCCTGGTAATAATTTTAGAAAAGAAGTTTAATCCCTTTTAAATAACAGCTCTAGAAACAATCATTTATGAGAGAATCAGTTACAGAAGTTGTATATCTGTATTTGTAGCTGAAACGTAAGGTTCTTTGGAAATGCTATTAACTTTTGACATTTAAAACCTTAAAATTTAAATCCAAAAATCAATAAAACTGAATTTCATATAAGCTATAAGTTGTCATTTTGAAAAATATATGTCAAACACCCTGGTGCAGTGATTAAGTTTTTCAAAATACACTTGGATGAGAAAAAGCAATTACAACTTTATTTTCACTGAAGCTTAGCATTTCTTCTCATTATAAATACAAACAAAAAAACAACAGAGCTATTAGCAAAACTGGAGATTTTTGACACCAACAGAAAACACATTATAGTTGCTACAGGTATCTCAAAACATTTACAATTATCGCTACTTCAAAATTACTGTAGTCATTAAACCCACAGCAATAATGTTCCATTCAGTAGGTATTTTGACAAAGAACCATATATCACTGTATCACCTTAATAATATGTTTTGATAACTATATTTCAATATAATTGTACTTCTTTGTAATTCTAATTTCTTATGCATTTAGAAGAAACACTATTCTGAGAAGAGCACCATAAGCTTTCAGAGATGGCCAAAGGGGTGGTGGCACCACAAGGTTAAGAACTCCAACGAGCACTCGACACTCCTCTGCACATCACCGTATAGTACATGCATGTCATTTGAGGGTCACGAAGTTCTTGTGAGGTGGGACTCATCTAACTGATGATGAATAGGACACAGTCTCGGAGGAGCGAGTGGCTCATGATGATCACACAGCTTAACGGTAGTTAAGGCAGGACCAGATCCCAGGTGTGAAGCCCTGGTTTCATCTTTCTACCAGTGTACTGAGAGCTAAACAACTGTCATCAGTGATAATCAAAGGAGAACACAGAGCTTTTTCCTTTACTGCTATTTTTTTGAGGGAGGAACTTACTAAATCTACCATTGATACTACTGTTGTTCTCAAAAAGATTTCAAAGCAATGAGATTTGAAAGTTTTCTAAGTTATGCTATGCATCTGCTACACATGAACTCAATTTGGCTACTTTCATAGAGAAGGTTCTGGAACGACAGAACATTCTGAAAGTACATGTGAAAGCTCCCCGTAACTTTAAAATCCCAAGTACAATGTAGCATTTTTTAACTTAATGCAAAATGTGAGCTTGAAAGATAAAGAATACAGTGATTGCATAAAAACTTAATAATAAATTTAAAAAGAGAAGCTAAGTGGAGGTTTATGGCCCAAGAGAAGCAGTCTGGTCAATTCTTTCTTAAATACCAATATAAATATTTACTGATCCCTTATTATGTACCAGGCACGGTGCTAGGCCCAAAGGGCTACAGTGGTGAAGCAGACAGGTCCCTGCCCTAATAAGCTAAGAATAATGTAATGAGCCCCATTATACTATAATATAACCAAAACCATTATAATGTAATATAATGAGCACCATTATAGGGAAGCTTTATATTCATCAGCTCATTGAATTCTCACAATACCTCTAAGAGAGGTATTATCACCTTGATTTACAGATGAGGAAAATGAGGCTTAGGAGAGGTTATGTGACATTTTTTGTTAGGGTCACAAATAGTAAGTGGCACAACTAGATCTTTTTATGTCATGCTACATCTCATATTATCATTCCATATGTAATTTTTAAAAACCTGTTAACTATTGATGTAATTTTTTTGAGAAGGAGTTTAAAGTGTTCCCTTAGATGATAAATTCAGTTCTTGCAATTTCCTGAAATAAGTGAACTAGGATGAGAAACAGAGTAAGCAAGTTTAACGAGATTTTTAAAAATAATCATCAGCTTAACCAAAAATCTATTTTTTCTTTAAAGATTTTTATGCAGACATTTGAACAATGAAGCTTGTGAAAGCAGTATGAATTAATTAGAAAAAAACACAGACCACAGCAATCTTAACAGGTTATGTGGTAAAAACTGTACTAAAATGAACTCAATATATACAAAATATGTTGTTCAGTCAATAATCGTCAAAAATGCCTTTAAATTATTTTAAATCCACAATGCTTAAAAATATCAGCATCTACTAAAACCAGTATTAGGAATTCTAATAGGCAAACAAAATTATCAAGAAAAAAAGTTTTGAGTATTTTCAAGTAGAAACTGCAGATTTATGATTCAATATAGGCTATGGATCTATTCACATGGTTGTTAGATCTAAGCTTACAAATTAATGCTGTAATGCTTCTAGATTATACTAATTGGAATATTTTATAATAATGCATTTCTTTACATCTCTTGTATCCGTGCTCTTTCTCTAAACTCCAAGTTTATAACCCCTGTTCTTATTGTCAGTCTCCACCCCTATCAAATCTGCTAGAGGAGAAAGTTTTGAAAGGAAACGTTTTATTTGGAGTTGTGCAATCCATATGTTTCATTTACAATAACAATAAAAAGTCAGGCCTTCAAATTTGAAAAACTAATAGGCAATTTTCACATTTAATTTCATTTTCTTTATTACAAAATGTGGGTAGGACAATAGTCCCAAATGAAAGACATACAGATTAAGAATTAAGTTCTGTAACACCAGTACTAGTTTTCTATCTTACTGAGTGTCAGAACCAATAATCAAATGTCAAAAATTTTGAATAAATAAATACGCATTATTTGTAAAAAGGTGGGAAAACACAAAGGACATACTTTACGAAGTTTGTGATTTTTTCTTATGTAAACTATCTCAGTAATATCACTCTTATTTAAATCAATTAAAAGTTATATTTTCACTGAAGAGTTAAATAGAGGGGGAAAGTGTTTTAATAATAGGCTTGTAGTATACTGGAAGTTTAAAAAAAATATTGAAAATTAGAACCCTTGTGAAATGCATGCCCTATTAAACATGCAATATTTGCAAGTGTGATCTAACAACTGTAAAAGAAATGAACTATCAGACTTAGCTTTAAACTGCCAACATAAACACTCTTTTAGGTTTTAAATTAACTATAAAAGGATAAAATCTGTTTATCTTTTCAATAGCGTATTAACTTTAAAAAGTCTTTATACGTAAGTAGTTTCAAAGGATATACATGTGAACTATTACAATGAGGTCACCTTTGATATCACCAAAAAAAAAAAAAAGCTGGTGAGTTACAAATTGAGTATAATAGCTTTAGAATCCTAACACTGAAGCTAATGACAACAAATCAAACCTCCTGTTACATTAATATTGGACAAGAGATTATAACTACAACTTTACTTAGCTTTTAACAAATACAAAATGACAGGAGTGGTTAAATATAATATTAGTTTAAAAAGAGACATTTAAGAGCCATTCTAGAAAAGCATATGTTGAGTCTGACACTATAATAAAGAATCAGAAATCGTCCTGCTCAACAGACTTAAAGATTAACTCATGTATTTGACTTAAGTATAGACTATAGGGAAGGCTCACAAAAAAGTTTCCTGCTGATAAGGAAAGATCTTCCTCTTCTTTTGGCAGAAACTATCAGTTATATTTATTATATGTTGGTGGCATTTAGATCCAACAATCCAAAACCTTAATGAAAGAATTATGACAAACTCCATCTCTCGTACACAATGAAAGTATGGAGAATTGGGACAAATAGGTAATCTGATCCACAGAAGAGTGGCTTAGGGTGGGGTACTAATGAGCTGAAATTGGAAGCTTCCTTGGGCAGCCACAGTAATTTAATGAGAAGCCCAAAGAGAGGAATAAAGTACATCAAAAGATGTAGGGATTTGATAACAAATAAAAAAGGTACTTCCCATTATTGTCAATGAAACTAAGTCCAAATGCTAGCTTAGTGTGACAGGTTAAGTTATGCTTGGTGAAATATATAAAGAGTCTTAAAACTAGGCTTATAAATATGCTTCAAATAAACTGAGTAAGTCATAAATAAAGAGGCAATAGTTTAAGAAGATAACTTTGAAGGTCTCAGTACACTGTTGGCAATCAATAAGCATTTCCTAAATGAATGAGAAAAATTAAATAGAAAAAACAAGTCATGTCTAGTTAAGCTGGAGTAGGTAAATGCTGTACTTATATCCTCTCATGACCACATCCAAATTATAAACTACACAACAACCATCATTGAGAATCACCTGAAGTCTCAGTGAATAAAGTCCTACAACTAAGGGGATAACGCTGAGACTAGTAGGAAGTTTGGAGGGTCAATACTTCTCATTGATGTATAAACAGCAACCAAGGCTCAACTACAACAGGAGGGCAGCACACACAACCCACACAAGGGACACGCCTAGAGCACCCAGCTCAGGTGACCAGGGAGACTGTGCCACTGGGCCCCACAGGATACCTAATAGGCCACTCTACTAGAGCTGGGAGGCACAGCACTCCCACCTAATACATAGAAACAAACCCCGGGAAGCAGCCAAAATGGGGAGACAGAGAAACATGTCTCAAATGAAAGAACAGAACAAAGCTCCAAAAAAAGAACTAAACAAAATAGAGAAAAGCAATCTACCAGACACAAAGTTCAAAACACTAGTTATAAAGAAGCTCAATGATCTCAGAGAAAACTTCAACAAAGAGATAGGATACATGAAAATGGAGATAGAGAACATAAAAAAAAAGTCAGAAATGAAGAATATAACAATAAATGAAGACTACATTAGAGGGAATCATCAGTAGATTAGAAGAAACAGAGGGTCGAATCAGAGATTTAGCAGATAAGGTAGCAGAAAACACCCAAACGGAACAGCAAAAAAAAAAAAGAAGAAAGAAAAAAAATGAGGATAGTTTAAGGGGCTTTTGGGACAACATCAAGTGTACCAACATTCGCATCACAGGGGTACCAGAAGATCAAGGAATTGAAGACGTATTTGAATAATGATGGAAAACTTCCCTAACCTGGTGAAGGAAATAGACACACAAGCAAGGAAGTACAGAGAGTCTCAAACAAGATGAACGCAGAGGCCCACACCAAGACACATGATA